CAGCATATGTTTTACCTCAGCAGTTGCAAAGATTGAGCCATCCCCATTGGTGGTTAGAAGAACCCTCCTCATATATGCATCTATCTATCTATCTCCTTGAGATCTTTTTGAAAAATCCATCAGGAAAAAAAAGATCCCTTTTTACTCCTTTTTCCTCTGATTGTCTCTTTGCCCAAATCTGTGTTCCCTTTGAATAAAGGTTTCCCCTCCAGTGTGGATGAGTGGACCATGTATTGCTTGGTGGACTCCAGCCACTGAGACCTCAACCAGCTTACAAGCTTGTTTGTATTGTACTTCAAAATAGTAAAGCCATTTTGTAGTAGGCCTTGGAATTGTTTTGATAACAGAAATTTTTTGGTGCCAAAAAACACTGAGGGAGTGAGACATATGATATAGAATAAAGAACTGAACGCGATGGAATCAAACTTATAGTTGTATCCATTGTACATGCACATGTTGTACATGTACAGGGGATCCGGGAATGTAACTTAAAGGTCATTCACGTAGATAGTATCATTTACGTATGTACGTACACATGTATGTATGTATGTATCTCAAGGGTTGTGCTCTTTGTTAGTACATGGCTAGGTGCATGTTGGTTGTGCCTGCATATACCTCATGAGTGTGGAGAAGTACATTAAAATGAGGTTTGGAAACCGATTTTCTTTCCTCATATCTGAGTGTTGCTTCTCAGTAGTAGTAGTTGTTGTTGTTGTTGTAAGTCTTGTTTTCTTCAATGGCCGTGGGACATATTGCCTAGTGTCGGATCTCTATCTACATTATTCAAGAAAATATCTTCTCTCAAGTGCCAATGTTGGTATGACATGAGCTGCACCCAGAATGAATCTGATCCGTACGTTTTACTCTTTGATACGATCCTTCTACTTAAAAATTCTTGGTAAACAGACGTCGTTCTATGTTAATACAGGCTATATGAAAACACCCCACGATGCAAAAAGGCTATTCAGATCAGCAATTCCAATCATATGGAAGGACCACCCAGCCACATAACACCCTTCTCTGAAGGTGAAAAAAAGGGGTGAAACCCATTGACATCAACTTTCCCTGAGACAGACTTGAGATGATAAGGATTCTAGATATAAAAGCAATGGTGTACTTTTTATACGGATTCCCAGTGCATTGGCTTGAATATCACCCATGAGAACCCCAGTGGGGCTTGGCCAAGTGGGAATGAGAAAAGCAATAAGTGCTTGTTCTCCATAAGGTCACATGTTCAAATCTTGCGGAGGTCAAAAATTGCAAACCTTGGGGGCCAGGGTCACTAGAGGGTTTGTCTGGTCATTAACTTCAAGACCCTGAAATTAGTCAAGGTGCGTGTAAGTTGGCCCAGACATCCGGTTATCAAAGGAAAATATCACCCCCCACCTGCATGTGGGCGGTATCTCAAAGCAAAGGTGAAAGGACCAAAGCAAGTTGCCTACTGGGACTACCCTGATCTCTCTTTTAGGGAAGGAACACAAACAACTTGACTAACAATGAAATAAGCACCTCTTAAAATGATGCGAGCATCGGCTTTTTTACCGAAAAAGCAACCGTGTTGTACTCGCGATTTCGAATGAAGACGACATCGGGTTCCACGATGAGGAGATAGAAATTCAAAGCACGAAATTCGGACCTCCCCGGTCAGCAGAGGTAAACTAATGGAATCATATGGCAAATCATCACAGGAATCTAATCAACTTTGCTAGCTGCGGTACGTACATCCCACGCCGAAGTGCTAGGATGCTTCCTATTGTCCCTGAGGCAGGTTTTCTTAAACCCCCCTAGCAAAACAGTAGAACTTCTTTCCAAGTAAAATTAGAACAACAAAATATGCAGAGTAGAAGGGATACATCAATCTAAGGGCACTAGTAGCTTGAAAACTTTCATTAGCAGCAACGGAATACTATGCCGGTATTATTTTCATCAAACATAATCATTTCTCCGACATTGTGTTTTCGCATATGGTAATTCGATTCCTACTGTGAGGATAGATGAACATCATTTTTTTTTCGCAAAGTTGCTGGAATTCAACGGTGACAGAATATCATCGCGAAAAAATTATTCTTGGGATAGGGATTCACAGTGTTGGCGCATCTATATCTCAATGGCTAATAGGCTTGGAATTGAGGGATCTAATCCCCACCATCTTGGTGAATTCCCTACGAAGTCCACTAGCTAATGATATCATTTAAAAAACAAGGAAATGAATTCTGAAGAGGAATTCAGGAACATCTTGTCCTTTGATACTCTTGTTTGATTCTCTTACCGTATCTTCTCCTTCTTAGCTTTGTTTCATGTTGTGGCCTCTACGCAAACGAATCAAATCTCGTTTTTTTTTTTTTTTTTTTTACATTCCCCCTAAAGATGAATAAATAAATAAATTAACCGCGCGCCAACTTGCTCCTCTCTCACCACCTTTTCCTCCTGTATATAAGGAGCTGGCATGGCAATCTCTTACTCATATACCATCCCCTTGACTTCAGTCTTCTACTCTTCTAGCTTGACTGAGGAACACACTGCTCTTTTTCTTTTGAAGCTTCTTCCCACTGAACTCCTCTGAATTCAATCTCAATTTCCCGTCGCCAATAGAAATGGCGTCGAGTTCTATCACTTCTTCGCGTAGTTCTAACTCGTCCTGGACAGCCAAGCAAAACAAGCAGTTCGAAGAGGCTTTAGCCTATTTTGACAAGGACACCCCTGACCGCTGGCAGAACGTAGCCAGGGCTGTGGGTGGGAAATCGGCGGAGGAAGTGAAGAGGCATTACGAGGTCCTTGTGAAGGACATCATGCAAATAGAATCTGACCAAGTACCTCTTCCCAGTTACAGGTCCGGTGGGGGCAACGGTAGAGCCATTTACAATGGACAGAGGTAGTGTGGTGAGGTAATTCTCTTCACCCATCACTCGACAAAGTGCGATTAATATTGTTGTATTGTAGCTAGAGTTTATTCCCTCTTCGAAATCATCTTACTTACTTCTCCAATCGAAACAGCGATATATAAAATGAGCATCTTTCTTGCACAGCTATAGACAATGCCCTGATGAATTCCACAAAGAAATTAGACTCTGTAGATTACAAAATGGGTACCGAGTCCACCATCACAATCTATTACTTACCTTGTAAAACTTCCACCTTTCGTAGTATATTTATGTACTAGAATTTTCAAGTTGAGGATCGTAAGTGGAGTGGTCGCCTAGTGGTGGGCACCATGTGCTCCCGCCTGGGGTTCAAACCTCACTAACTGCACCTAACAAATGTCGACTTTTGACGAGGAAAAAAAGATAGTTGAGGGTCAGCACTCATGAAGCCCCTCCTAAGTGACTTTAGCAATATTTTATAGAAGTCAAACACATCCATTCAACATACCAAAGTATTCCACATGAAATCTCATCCTACATGTTTTGAATCACATGTTCATGGTCTGTGCTTTAGATCTCTAGACACCTCATTTTCTATGATATACTTATATTGGAGCATCTTCAAACATGGCTTCCATTATGGAGATATCTTTTTTCTTTTTTTGAAAGACTTATGTGGCAAATTGACATCGACAAAACCCTTCCTCTCCTACGATGGTGTCAAATTTGTATATTTTTGTTGTCATACGATCGCTTATCAAAATTGAAAGAGATTTGGCATCTCCTTTTCTTACCTCCAAAAATGGAGGTGTTGAAGGCTTGAGCATTCTTCCACTTAGAATTCGACTGTTGCTTGTGCCACGGAGGATTTGACAGCTACAGTTGGAGCTGCTCTTAGCCCGTGATTGTTGTCTAGATAAGGATCACCTATAGGCTAATAGGTATATCAGATTCTTCATAAAAACTCCAAATTCCTATTTAGTATTGTGATCAGTACTCACAATCTTCTATGAAATGCATAAGGTTTCTTGCAGAACTAACGCGCTTTCGTCCCCCTGCTCCATTCAGGCTAACGGAGAATCTGAAGCTCCAATGAAGTTCAAGTCGCAGCTGTAGTATACAATCGATGGATTTTATAACAAGAGCAAATGCATAGATACGTATAGAGCATTGCTTGGAAGTACGGGGTTATTGTGTTTCATATTCGTCCTGTCTTTTCCCGGTGTTTGGTATGTCAGTGTAATTGTTGCGACAAAGCAGCAGTAAAAACCAGTGTGTAACTGTTTATGTCCTTTTAACCTGCCCCTATTGTAATGGATTTCTCTTCTTCGCGACGATGTTTATAGTACTCCTAATTTGTGGTTTTAATTATGTCCCTTGGGTGGCTAAATTTACTTGTGCACGCACAATAATCGAATAATGAAAGAGTAGAAATCAAAGTACGCGAAGAATTCTTTCAAAGTTCGAAGAAAACGAAGAGCAGAATGGGAGACTGAACTTGCTCTAGCAAAACACCAATCCCGTTATGCATAAACAGCATAATCAGAGCGTAAAGTTAACTGAGTGACAGTCGATTTACATGAAATCTGGCTACGGAAATATAACACAGAGGATATAGGAAGTTGTACCTAGGAAGAACTGGAATATTCTCAAAATCTGAATTTAAAGTAAACAGACGACGAATAACAACGAAGAGAGAGACATAGCATGAAATTATCGCGATCATATCGGCTGATCAACTGACCTGACTAAGATCCAAATGTCGAGATTAACATGGCAGGTTTAAGAAAACATCGATTTGGTAATTGGGTCAAATTAATCGCGCTTGCCGCTAGCGACCAAACAAACACTCACTCATAAGAAGAGCCAAAATGACAACAATAGTTAAAATTTGTCGTTCTCTTTTTTTCCGGTTCTTGCAATAGGTAATGAAGTAGTCTGATCAGCGAAGGACAAATGAAATCAACATATAGTGGGAAGTGGTGTTAAGATTGTTCCGATTACGGAATATCGCCAAGAGACGAAAAGCCTTGGAATACATTCGCGCGACTGCGAATCCTTTAAGGATCAAAATCTAATGGTTCAAAAACTTCGAATACAAGTGCATAGAGAAACACCCCGAGAAATTGAAAATAAAGTTGGAGATGCGGGGTATCGATCCCCGTACCTCTCGCATGCTAAGCGAGCGCTAGCTCTACCATCTGAGCTACATCCCCACTCGACATGTTGATGTCCAATAGTAGGAGAAAATTTCGGTGCCGAGCGGGTACCACGTGGTGCCCGCTCGGCCATCCGAGCCGTCCATTTCATTTTTGAACAGCTCAGATTTGGAGAGAGAAAAGGAGAGAGAAAGTGTTTGGGGGGAGATGAGAGAGAGTTTTTTAATCCGAGCCGTACGAAAGTGTATCGGACGGCTCGAATTTGCCGAACGGGTGCCACGTGGGCAATACCCGCTCGGCACTGAAAAATTCCTCCCAATAGTAGCTATAAAAATATGTGGCGTGGAACCCAAGGTAAAGAAAATAGAGGAAAGGAAAAAACATAAAATTTCCTCTTTGTTCGGTTTTTGAGAGAAAAAAAGAGAGAACACAATCGGAAATTCTAATTGCAAGGACGGATTCGCAGGGATTCACGCAAGGAAAATTGCGTTTGGGTCCATTCTGGGTCCCAAAAAAAATCAAGAAAAATATCCATAAATTTTTGAATATTATTTTATGGAGCTCTGTAAAAAATCAGCTCCAGCGGATATCGGTAAGTATTACTTTTGGATTCGTAGGGGCGAACTGAGCAGTTTCGCCCTATTAATCCAAAAATAATACTTACCGATATCCGCTGAAACTGATTTTTTACAGGGCTCTATAAAATAATATTAAAAAATTTATGAATATTTTTCTAGATTTTTTTGGTACCCAAAATGGGTCCAAACACAATTTTTCTTACGTGGATCCATGTAAACCTTCCCTGTGAATAGCAGGGCTCATACTAAAGCCTTAAATTTTCTCTAAACTTTCCTTCTCTTTTTCCTTTCTTTCCCGTAAGTTTCTAAACATGGATTGACTTTTCTTTCGGACGATTCCTGCATCATGTTTATGGGTATCAGATTAATTATTTAGGGGTATCGATCATATTAATCAAGAGAAAACGTCATTAATATCATTGACGCAAATTCACAAATCCAATTATTTTGCCGGAAAAAATCTTACAAATTGTGCCTACCCTACCATAGTAGCATAGAAGCATATTTAAAGATTCCAAAGATAACAACAGCATTTCCACACACTCACATTGATGGAAGGGGGACACAAAATGTTACGGCCTTTTATCTCCGGAAATGCTGCAAAGATGCTCCCTGTAGAGTGCTATATATAGTGCATTATCATAGCCATTCAAAGTGTTTTCAATTGCACGGATTACAAACGAATTCTTTCAGGGAAAAGTTAATTCTTCCCTGAAAAAAGTTTGTTTTTAATCTGAATCATTGATTGCCAAGATAGACGATTTGGATACGCCTTACATGGCGCTCTACAGGGAGCTAGCTAGGCTGCTTTGCAGCATTCTCGAATAGTGAATCTGTACATGCCTACAACTAAAAGTAAATAACGCCACTTGTCGTATGAGAAATAAAAGCAAATGCCGAGAATTCGAACGGTTAAATTTGCAGCAGTTAATTCCGAAGCAAACAGAAAATAAAGCAAGGATTAAAATGATAGATCAACTAGAGGATTGCTCACATTTTTCTCATCCAATCAAAACTGAGAATAAGGGTTTTTTTTTTTGGTTCAAATCAAGTTTTTTGACTGGACGGAACAATCCAAATCTGGACCACACATTGATAACAGTATTTAAGCAAATCCGAACCATTAATTGCTGCAATGGGCGATCCAGATTTGGGGTGTCCCGTCGAGTCCAAATTAAGAATCGGAGAGTAGCCAATTCTTATTACAATACAAAGAATTCTCTATCTCTATAGTAAAAAACTATAGTCTAAACTATGTGAGTTTGTGTGTTAATAGGCTTCAGTCCAGTTGGCATCTCCTGGCCGTCTCCTTGTGGAACTCTAGAATTTGAGCCATATCACCGGCGTTTGGAGTTTCAAGGGTTATGAATAGCCTCTCAAACTTCTCGTAAACTAACCTACTAATTCTCCTCGTAACCCTCGGCCGATGTATACAATCTTGACCAAAAAAAAAAAAAAGAAGAAGAAGAAGAAAAAGATGAGTTTGTGGAAGCGATTGAAAAGGGCCTAGGAGCTGGACCATACTCCCGTATCCCCGGAAATTGATGTTGAGTTTGGACCATCCTCCAATGTCTCATTCAGCAAAATAGGAGCTTAGCCCAAGAACAGTACAAGGTTTTGAGTCCAGCTCTCCACAGAACCAAAAAGAAACAAAACCAACCGACTAGCATATGGTTCTGTTGAATTTTCTCGGATTTTTGGTCAAAGTCCAGATTGGGACCCCTTTCGTACAACTTAAAAAAAAATGGGGACCAAAGGAAATTTAATGAGCCCTAATCAATTTAGATTTGAATGTAAACAATGTTTGGCGTAAGAAACAAAAGTCATTTTCAATGGGTTAGAAACAAATCACTCTCAATTATCTGTCTAAACTCATGTCTTAAGGTTGTGCGGCGGCAACCGTTGCGCTCTTCTAACCATAAAATTTTTGTAGAGTTAATATGGGCGGCAAAATTCTGACTTTCTTAAAAAAGATGCATTTGTTAGATATAACGGTCGCTCTCGCGTCCCTCAAAACGGTTGCAAGCGATGTGACAATGGAATTGTCTTTGATGACGCATCAGTGTTCTTGCGTGACGTATTGACGTGCCTATCCATCGACAAGAGTAGACTCATAAATTTTAAGCAGGCAGAATTTCAAGCCATTCTTGAGTTAAGTTGTCACTGTACTAGTTAGCTTGATTCAACTCATTTTAAATTCCTGCGCGTAAAAGCCAATGTAAGGAAGAACAATACTACCTCTGTTCCACCATGATAATTCTGCTTTCTCTCTCTTACCTCTTTTCAAATAAAAAAAATCAACTATTTTCGTGCATAATTTTTCAATTTTTTTCACACCATATTAAAGATCTCGATTAGTACTTTAATTAATTTGATGCGAAAAAATTTTAAAAAATTATACACAGAATTAGTTGATTTTTTTATTTTAAAAATGACACGACTTTTCATAGCGGTCTCTTAATATGGAACGGAAGGAGTATTTTAAATAGTTTGATGATGATATTAATCCTCCCAATTTCAGAAAAGGGCCTCGTTCTTAAAACTCAAATAAATCTTGCCTAGATGTCTGGAGAAAGAGAAAGAAAATCAGGGAGTTCAACTCTTTTCAATGTGTTAATCAAACTGTTCTAACAATACTAAACTTTTGCTGATTCAAAAAAGGAAAATCTTCATGCCGACCAATATAGTTATAACTGAGAGAATTCGAAATCATCTTCTGGATTTTGAAGTATTTGCCCATCTTTTATCAACTTATTATCACATACTTCATTGGTTCGAGACTTTATAAGTAGCAGAATCACTGAGCTTCTAATAATTTTAATTGCATTCCATCTCTTAGTATTTCGACCAATAGAACAAAGGTTGTCAAATGAGTAACAAATTTGATCATGTGTAGTTAGCCCAACAGTTGCATAAAATTGGGCTCGTAATTCGAGATTTTAGATTCGAGCAGATGAAAAATTGACTCGTACGTAATTCGAGATTTTAGATTCGAGCAGATAGAACAGCATTCGAAAACGCACGCTGCTAATCAAGTACTGAATTCGCCTCAATCTACAAGCTCAAAGACAACTATATGCAAGTAACAATAAACAAGTGCGGCAATTGCAATCCCATGCACCTGTGAATTCCAAGCAAATCAAATCCAAAAGAGATGTTGAAGAACTCAAATGATCATTAAAATAAACCAAAGATACACATGAAAGAAGACTTACATGCATTATATTTATCTAACTACTTGAGATCTTCTACTTCTCTCTACTCATACATTCCCCTCCCTCTCTATACACCATCTCCCATTAATTTCTCATTCAAACCATTCCAAAGGGGTTTAAAAATCGCGGTATCAAACAACGTAACGATGATGATACAATCATCTATAGATGATGATACGACGCTAGCTAGCACCGACCACTGCATACATAGGTAAATAACGATATCAGGTGTGAAATCTGATTACATCACGGTCGATAACGGACTTTATTTAAAAATCCTTACATCCCTCCCTCCCTCCCAATTAATTTCCAATTCATGATTCCTCCTCCTCCTCCTCCTGGTTCTGGCCCAACTTCTTGGTGGAATTCTTGTTATTGTGCATCCACACCTTGAACACCTGCCTCTTCACCCCAATCTCGCCGCAAAACCTCTGCACCTCCGCGTCGTCCTCCCTCGGTATCCTCCACCCCACCTTCTCCGCGTACTCCATCATCTTCCCCTTTTGCTCCGCCGTGAACCGCGTCCGGAACCGCTTCTTGGACATCACGAACGGCGGTGGTGGCGGCGGACCACCACCACCACCCGCCGCCGCATGAAAATTCAAATCCTCACTCGACGAATCTGTTCCACCGTTTCCCCTCCCGCCGCCGCCGCCAATAACGGCCATTTTCACCTGTTGCACGACTGGAGCCCAGTGATTGGCCTGGCGGTGGCTCAACGGCGGCGGAGGGAGCTGTAGCGGAAGCACCATAGCCCGCCGCGAGAAAACGCTGCCGCCGTCGGGCTCTTTACGGTGGAAGTTGCGGTGGCAGCTACAGGCGGCGCACTTGAGGGCCTCCAGGGTCCCCTCGTCGCCGGCGGGCATGAACTCCCCGCAGCCGTCGAGGACCTTGCCGCCGGCGCTGGCCGCGTGGTTCTTCTGGCATTCTCGAAACTTGGCGCCGCCGCCGCCCGATGCGGCGGATTTTGGCTGGGTTTTATTGTCTCCGCCGTTGACGTGGTCTGTGTTTGGGCGTTTTGGTAGTTGAGCGAGAGGCGGTGGATTGAGGGTTTCTGATGAGTCTGGAAAGATGGAGGTATACCCTAATGACCCCTCTTCACTTTTCAATTCCATTTTTTAAAGGTTAAAAAACACTAAATCTGATTAATTAATTGCTAGTGAATTTCCAAAGCGCGCTCTCTCTCTCTCTCTCTCTCTCTCTCTCTCTCTCTCTCTCTCTCTCTCTTTGATTCAAATAAGAAGCAAATAAACAGACATAAAAA